AGGTGAGTGAATTGCCTGAGCCCGTGGGTTCGAGACCCGCCTGGGCAACTTGGCGAGACCTCATCTCTACAATAAATCAAAAATTAGGCGGACGTGGTAGCACATGCCTGTAGTTTGGCTACTTGGAAGGCTGAGGTAGAAGGATCACCAGAGCCCGGTGGTTGGGCGGTGGGGTGGTCGTGAGTGTGCCACTGCACTCCAGCCTGGGTGACGGAGTGAGACACCAACTCAAAAAATTATTTTAAAATGATTTCATTCAAAAAATGATAATATATTACCTCTGATTTCATGATAAAACCTCTGGAATTAATGCTGAACTTTTTGCTGTCTGCCTGTCATTTTTATAATCCAGAGCCTCCTGTGAATATCCTCTTATTACACAGTCAAAGCAATGTATCTTTGAAATTCCTCATGAATTAGACTTCATTCACATGTGACACAGATACAAATGTTTTTAATGGGCGATATTTCATGTCCAAGTTCAGGGTAGTAAACAGGCAGAGAGATGTTCAGGTTGTGTCACGCTCTGGCTCAGCTGTAACCTGGGGACACAGGGCCTGACAGCAACCTGTTTAGAGACGGGTGAAATGTTTTTCTTTTCTTTGTTTAAAGTGTTTCTCTGCTGAATTAAAACTCCTCCGAGGCCACACGATAACTTTCTCATGTGCTGTAAAATCAGCCCGTCATCACAGTGAGCACACAGTTTGCTCTGAATGATTGTGGGTGGGCCCAGGACTTACTCAAGTCCTGGCAGGCCTTCAGAGAGAGAGAGAAGCCAAGCTCTGAGCCAGGCCCATTCAATGAGCCCCTCTGCCTCCTCCCAGCGCCCGAGTCTCCCTTCCCTCCGTTTGGTCTTTCTGTGGGTTGTCGCAGAGTCTTTTTTCTCTTACTCTAAGCTCCTTACCGCTGTTTCTGTCATCAGTTTCTTTATGAAACACCAACTGATGAAACCCTGAAAGGTGTGAAAATTTTTTTGAGACATTCCTTTTAACCCTTTAAATGTGTACTCATAGGTAACTTGGCATTTTAAAAATTACAAGTAAGCTTTTTTTCATTTAGGTACTCTCTAAAACTGAATGGTTTTATGATGGAGTTCTTTTTTTGCAGACTTTGCTTCTCAAAACTGAGAGGAACATAACGTTCCCAGTGGGCTGGACGTAGTTGTCACTTCAGCCACGAGTGGGGGCACCCTTTACTCCAGAAGTCTCTTTCCCATGTTATCTCATTCAGCTCCCATCACGGGCCTCCGGGAGAAGCACCTTTTAAATAATCCCCAAACAAAGACTAGTAGGAAAGAAACCACTTCGCTGTGTTTAGGACAGTCCTGACGTCAGCGTGTGCCTGGAGCTGACATGGGGAAAGGGGCAGCCACGTGTTCCTTCTAGTGGGAAAACAGGCTTGGATTTGGGCTCCAGGTGTCCAGACATGCCCGCAATAGGCCCACATGCTGGGGGAAGGGGACCCCCGCCTCTTAGGACATGCAGAAGGACATGCCACGATACGGAGGTGATGACTATTCCTTAGAGCTGTACTATCAATATGTGTTTCTCTCTGTTCATTCTCCACTAAAAGCAAAAAGCAAAAAAAAAGCCTTATGTACATGTTTTGATGCTACTCATCTCTATTATGCACGTTGATAAAAGAAATGCTGTGTATTCCTACTTGAGCTGAGCGGTGAAGGAGTAGCCTGCTCCCATCTGGTGATGGCTAGGGTGAGGGAAGCCCAGGTGGGAAAAACGCAGGGTCACCAGTGGCAGCTGCCCCTCCCCCAGTGAGAAGCTGGGAACTGCAGACACTCGTTTGTAACTTTAAAATATTGTCAGGAGCCGGGCTCGGTGGCTCAGCCTGTAATCCCGCACCTTTGGGAGGCTGAGGTGAGTGGATTGCTTGAGCCTGCGGGTTCGAGACCCGCCTGGTCAGTGAGACCTCAGCTCTACAATAAATCAAAAAATCAGCTGGGCGTGGTAGCGCATGCCTATAATTCCGGCTACTTGGAAGGCTGAGGCGGAAGGATCGCCAGAGCCCAGCAGGAGAGGCTGTGGTGGTCGGGAGCAGCCACTGCACTCCAGTCTGGGCGACTGAGTGAGACTCCCACTTAAAAAATAAAATAAAATAAAATAAAATAAAAAAATAAAATAAAATGTTGTCAGGATGGGGGACATGGGATCCAGCAGGCACCAGTGGTTCTTTGGATAGTTAGCATTTCCTGACAATCTAGCTCAGGAGCTGGCAAACATTTTCTCCAAAGGGCCAGATAGTGAATACGTTCAGCTCTGGGGACCGCAGTCTCTGTCACAGTTCCTGAAACTTGCCATTGCGGGCTGCCCGTGGCCACTGACAGCGCATAAACCAGCAACTGTCGCTGCGGCCCAACACAGCTTTACTTGTGGATGCTGCGATTTGAATCTTAGGTAATTTTCACACGACGCTAGAAAGGATTCTCCTTTGGATTTGTTTTCAACCATTTACAAATGTATGAACCATGATTTGTTCACGGGATGTACTGGAACAGGTCGCAGGCTGACTCTGGCCCGTGGGCCACTGTCTGCTGACCCCAAACCAACTGAACTCGAAAGCACAGGGCTTGTTTCTTTCCACAGAGGGCTCGAGGAAACGAGAATGAGTGGCTCTTTACCGTCTAGAGGGACTCGCAGCCGACACTTTCACTAGAGGGAAAATGTCCCATTTGAGATCCAGGCACGGCCTCCTCCCCCCCTTTCTCCTTCCTCTGTTCTTCTCTAAATCCAGTGTCTATGCTGGAAGGGCTGAGGGTCTGCGATCAATTATTTCACAAGAGGGTGCTTGCCCGAATAGAGAGAAGTGCTTCGCATAAATCCCTCCAAATGAAGGCCAATGAAAGACTGGGCAGGTTGGCTCGTGCTTGTAATGCCAGCACTTTGGGAGACCGAGGGAGGAGGATTGCTTAAGGCAAGGAACTCAAGACCAGCCTGGGCAACATAGTGAGATCTCATCTCTATGAAACAATAAAATTAGCCAGGCGTAGTGGTGTACTTCTGCAGTCCCAGCTACTTGGGAGACTGAGGCAGAAGGATCACCTGAGCCCAATGTGAAATCCCTACTCAAAAAAAAAAAAAAAAAAAAAAAAAAATATATATATATATATATTTTATATATTTCTCTGAAAGATGTTTGAGGAATGTGTCTGTGTCAGGAACCATCCCAGGTGTTGGGATACAATAATAACCAGGCAAAACATCAGACTTAAGCATTGATCGTCTACCTTGGAAGGTCAGGGAAGGATTCCTGGAAGAAGTAACACCAAGATGAAGTGCAAAACCCAGGGGGAATCCGGTGGCCTCCTCTGTGCTATGTACAGCCCCATTCACAGATCGAAGCCCTGATCCTCAATGTGGTGGCATTTGAAGCGGGGCCTTCGGGATGCTTCCAAAATGTGTCTGCTTCCATCTTTCGGATCTGAGTAAATGACACCGTCCTCCTAGTTACACAAGTCAGCCACCGTCCTGCACTGTGTGTTCATCATTACCATACTTCACAGTTTTCACAGGTGTGTCTCTCTCTAAACAATGTTTCATTTTGTTTGTCTCTGAGCTTTATCAGAAAGATCTATATTGTAAAGACAATGGCAATTCACAACTCTTTAGGGAGTTCTGGGAAGAGGAGCAGAGATGGCAGGCAGTGGCTGGACAGCATGTGGGATTAAGAAATTAATTATGGCTGGGCTCGGTGGCTCAGCCTGTAATCCCACGCTTTGGGAGACTGAGGTGAGTGGATTGCCTGAGCCCGCGGGTTCGAGACCTGCCTGGGGAACTTGGCAAGACCTCATTTCTGCAATAAATCAAAAAATCAGCTGGGCATGGTAGCGCATGCCTGCAATTTCAGCTACTCAGAAGGCTGAGGCAGAAGGATCGCCAGAGCCCAGCAGGTCGAGGCTGCAGTGGCTGGGAGTGGCCACTGCACTCCAATCTGGGCGACAGAGTGAGATTCCATCTCAAAAAAAAGAAAGAAAGAAATTAATTATGGGCAACCCCCTCAGGTCCCCTCCCACTGTGGGAGCTTTTCTGTCTTCTCAATAAATCCTGCTTTAAAAAGAAAGAAAGAAATTATGTGAGCTTTAGGATCAGAGGTGATACGGTGTATATTTGCAAGGACGTGATGAAGGTTCAGCAGAGAGGGGACATCAGTGATGCAGGGAGGGTGG